AACAACAACAACAACATAATATCAGAATATTATGAAGTTATACTCTAATAAATTTGAAAAGCTAGAGGATATGTACAAATTCTTTGAAATTCATGCCCTATCCATTTGACTTCTTAAAATATTCATTAATTCCTAAAAAACCCCCACATAGGTCTAGAACTAACCTGCCAAAATTCAGATCCTGCTTCTCCTACTTGCTAGCTAAGCGATCATATATGCATTACTTAAAGCTTTGGTGTCTCATATATCAAAGGGGACTGAATTCACAGTGAACACCTATGAAGTCCCTATTGTTAGGTGTCACTGCTGTTCTTAGGTTACAACTCACAGATACCTAAGAGACAACGGAATCAAAAGCACTCAGGCACACAGCTGCCACATCGGTTCCAACTCAGAGCAACCGTCCTCAACTCAGACCAGACCCTCCATCAGGTTTCTGAGGCTGTAAATCACAAAAAGACTTCCCATCTTTCCCCCTCAGAGCTGCTGTTGGATTTGAACTCCCAGAGACAAGCAGCTTTTGAATCAGCAGCACAAACTAGTAATTACACTCTAAGCTAGCAGAGCTGCCTCGTCAAGAGGCGCAGCACCCACCCAAGAGGCGCAGCACCCACCCAAGAGGCGCAGCACCCACCCAAGAGGAGTAGCACCCACCCAAGAGGAGTAGCACCCACCCAAGAGGAGTAGCACCCACCCAAGAGGAGTAGCACCCACCCAAGAGACGCAGCACCCACCCAAGAGGAGTAGCACCTAACCAAAAGGAGGAGGAAGAGCAAAGGGAAACGGGCTGAGCACCTTGGCCAGCACCCCGAAAAGGAGGCCGCTCTTACTGCTCCTGTCAAAACCTGGTGGTGCAACCTCAACAAAATTAAGCACAAATGATGTTTTTGAGAAACTCACCTAGTATCATGCCCTGTATATCGCAAGCACCGAATTGGGACTAGCTGTTTTTACTGTTGTTAGAAATGCTAACTCTGATATTATTAACTGCTAGCTCTTATCTAGAGTCAGACATTGGGAGCACATGGCCTGGTGGGGCTAACTAAGACAGTAATTAGAAAAAATGAATTTCAAGATTGTTCCTTTATTAAATACAACCATATAAAGCCTCATACTACTTAGGCAAGGAGATTTGCATAACTTTATTAACAAGGGTTCCGTCTTAACACTTGGGGCTTTTTCAAACGCTGCAACCAATATTCCCACACTTCACAGAGCGACTCCCGGTGGTTCAGACACTCTGCTATGCCTGAACAATCAGTGGTTGGAACCACCACCAGCTGCTCCCTAAAAGAAAGATGAAACATTCTGCTTCCGTGACGATATGCAGCCTTGAGGACTTCATGGCAGGTACCACTGCATACAAGGCCTTTAGAAGAACGGACTCAAAGGCAACAGGTAAGACTCCTTAAACCAAATTCCAGGAGGTTTTCTTTAAAAGATCATAGCAAGCCCAGTAACCACAGCCCAAAAGAGCCAGTGACAGTCACCAAGGGTCACTACAGAAAGAATTTCAAATGCACATTAACCAGAGAAAGTCCAAGGGAAAGTCCTCCTATTTGGAGTATAACACCTTTTACACGAGTCAGCTAAGGAGGAAGAATGGTACTTACTTGAAAAGGGAATTTTTTGGCCTTTGAGGTTTCTTCTTGGCAAAAAACGCTGCAAACTCACGCCCAGTGCTGGCGTAACTCAGCTGTGCTGATGGTTCAGAGGCCGCCCGCGTATTTTTCATGTCCAAGTACTCCGTCAAAAGCATCTGTGCAATCAAACAGGTTAAGGCACACAGTTATAATGTGCAATTAAGAAAACCATTTTAGAACCATGCAAATCTAATTTCAAAATCTCATCACTGACACCACAAATGTCAGAACTTAGCAATTTGTTCTTCCAGGTGAACAATGAAAGGTGTGAGGAAAAAACCTATTAAGGGTGCTTCTCCTTTGTAGAACTAGGAACAGGGTGGCAGGCAGCTGAACATGGGGGTAAATGTGGTAATTTTATTGAATGTCTACGATGTGCACGGCCTGTGACAAATGAACAAATACTAACACTTAACAGGGAGCTCTGGTGATGAACCTATTAGCTGCTCCACAGGAGAAAAACAAATAATCTCCTCCCATGTGATTTATCACCTAAGAAAACCTGCTGAACGGTCAGCTCTGAGCTGGTTCTGACTAGATGCCAGTGAGTTTCTCCTTTATCATTTTATCATAACCTTTGTTATTCCAAATTGCAGCAGCATCTGCAGTAATGCACATTTACCGCACACTCTCTCTGCAGGTGGCCAAGGTACTCCACATGGATGTGTTATCTCATTTAAAGTGCAATATGTTATCAAGTAGGTTATTACAGACAAGGAAATGGGAGATTAGAGGGGCTCGAGGTTGCGGAAGTGAACTCTATGGAGACCTTCTCATTGCATCACTCTCTCCCTAATCCTGGAAAAGTGACTCACCAAATTCACAAAACCACCACTCAGAGGGACTTGTAGGTCACAGGAACCTGAGCAGTCCTGTTAGACAATGAATTTCAAGGGCCATCATTCATATCTAAGCAGGAGACACCCCTAGTGTTTTAGGCTACTATGACTGTGAGTGTTTCTGGGAAAAGCTGTCCCCTTTAGAGCCGCAGTCGGGCGAGGCCCGGAGTCACCCACTACACTAATTTCACAGAATGTATCTGAATAAGTCCTCCCTGTCAGAAAGAAAATAGCACATCCCAACATAAAGTACCACTGATCCTAAAAATATCTACCCAAGGATTAAAGCACATCAATTCTGTTCTGGAATCACTCACCACATTTAAATCTTCAAGAGATTCAAGTACATGTAGGCAAGCAATTCTATTCATAGCTGAAGTAAAAGCTTTTTAGAGACTCAAGATCCCATAGAAGCATTCTTTGTGTGTGACTGCATGCTATGTTCATTCACTGAAAGTCTGCAGACCATATTAGGGACTATGATTAAAAAAACATTCTCATGGAACTGCCTGTGGACACAGCACAGTCCAACATGAATGTCACAGGCATTATGTCTCCTGTAAAAGCTCGTACACCTTAGGAAGGCATGTCAAATACCACACATTTTAGAAACAATCTGACTTGATCATCAAACAAAATCAATGAAGAAACAGCATGAAAGATATTAAGAAACTAGCCTAATGCACACCCATTTTACTGCTGCATTATTCACTATACCAGATGGACAGCAGCACAAAGACCTCTCAATAAATGAATGGATATAAAAATTACAGTACATTCACACAATGTAATATTACACAGCATTGAAAAAAAACCTCATAAAATACTACACAATATGGGTGAGTCTAGAAGATATTACGCTGAGTGAAATACCTCAGTCACAAAAGGACAAATACTGTTTCATACCACTGTTATAAAATTGAACTGACATGGAAGAGTGGGAGGATAACAAGAAAAGAGTGGGTAGATAATGTATTATATATATAGCAACAATCTGGAACAAGAGGTGCATTGCAAAGCAGATTGGGGCATGTCGAAGTGGAAAAAGGGGGAAATGTGCAATAATGAATGAATGAAAATCCAACCTTTCTGTAAACTTTCATTTAAATCACAGTAAGAAAGAAAAAAAGGGGAGGAGGGGGCAGGGGGAACTAGTCTAATTATAGAATGGCAGGCCAGGCTTAAAATACTGCTTACCTCAACACACTTGTGCAAATGACAGCCTCAGAAAACTTGCTGGAGGCTGACTGAGTCAGTTGTGACCTGACAGCATGTAACAACGATTATTCAACTCTACTGACTGCCACTGAGTCTGAATCAACACACAGGGTCACTCCAGCGAGTTTCCAGAGGCTGGAAATCTTGAATGACCATATTTCTCCCATGGAGCAGCTGGTGGATTTGTAAGCCTTAACCACTAGGGCATCTTTAGTTGTTTCTAAAGCCTCTGAATATCCCACGGATTGTCAAAGAACAAACAGATAGATCTGGGGGGAAATGCAGCCAGAGTGCTCACTGGAGGCAAAAATGGCTAAGCTCCATCTTTTATACTTTGGGCATGTGGCTAGGAGAGGCTGTTCTCTGGAGAGGGACATCACGCTTGGAAAGGTGGAGGGTCCGTGAAGGAGAGGGCGACCCCCAGCATAGTGGCTTCACCAACGGGTTCCCGTGTGTCTGAGAAGCTGAGGATGGTGCAGGACAGGACAGAGTTCAAACTGGCTGTTCATATGGTCACTATGAATTGCACTCGAACAACAACAGCAAAGCCTCTAACTTGAACCATGATATTCTAAGTCCACCAAGAGCACACAGACTGCAGGAGGAACGGGTCTATGGACGCACAAAGTGAGCCTTATTTATTGATCTTCTGCACAATAAAGACTGCACCAGGGAAGTATAAAACACGTTAACAGATTAGTCAATGTGGTTTTGGCTTTTTAGTTTTAAATTTATGAGGCCACGAGAGGATCATTCAGCATGTTGATGAAGTAACTCTGACAAATAACTATCTCTGTTAATACATCACCGACACTGGCCAATAGGCAGGGAGAACACCGAGCCGGGTCCCTCCTTTAGTAACAACTCAACAGAGGGGCCCAGTTACACTGCAGATCTGGTGTGACTGCCAACAGCACGACTTTCAGCAATCTGTGATCAAAAGAAGGCTCGTAAACAAAAAAAAAAAAAAAAAGAATGTCAAGTTGATGTAATGGTTTTTTAAAAAGGTAATTGAAAGTGAAAAAAAAGATGTAATGCAAACTGATATACTATCATGAATTATGATGCTGGCAAGGAATACTGAATGACTATCCCAGGAGGTGCCAGGAGAACAAGCAAATCTGTCTCAGAAGTGCAACCAGGATGCTCCTGAGAAGAAAGGCCAGCCAGGCTGCATCTGGCATTCTTGGGGCATTCTGTCAGGGAAGGTCAGTGCCACGAGCAGAGTGCCAGGCTTGGTCACCAAAAGATGCGAAAAGACCCTCAGTAATAAGGACTGTCACAGCGGCTGCACTAACAGGCTCTACACAGCATCAAGGGTGAGATAGAGCAACAGCGGCCACTGTTTCACCCTGTGGGACTCTGGGCAGCTATGCATCAGGAGCAATTCAACTGACCTAGCCGTGACACCGATGGAAAAAGATGTCTACAAACACACTGAGATCACTCAGCTCAAATACCAACATGACGCAAAGATGTCTTTCCCAAAAGGTAAAGAAAGATACATTCAAAGAAAAAACTAATGACTAAGGATGACGGAGGAAGAACTGGGGCCTTTGAACTGTAGTGTTGGAGAAGAGTACCGGATATTCCATGGGCTTCCAAAAGAAATAAACAGATGTGTATTAGAAACGATGCTCCTTGGAGCCAGAGTGCTTTTTGGAGCCAAAAACGGAGAAGCACTGTCTCACGTACTTTGGGCATGTTGCTAGGAGAGGCTGTTCCTTGGAGAGGTACATCATGCTTGGGAAGGCAGGGGTCTGCTAAAGAGAGGAAGCCCCTGAACCAGGTGGGTTGACACAGTGACTGCAGCAATAGGCTCAACTATCTCTGAGATTGTGCGGATGGTGCAGGATAGGCCAGGATTCAGATCTGCTGAATGGTGCTTAACTCAACGGCACCTGATGGAAACCTTGCCCTATCCTGTGCCTCCATGCTCAAGGCCATTACTGCAATCACAGTGTCACACTTTTTGTTGGGGGAGGGGGAGCTCTGTGTGTGTGTGTTTGTCTCTGTCTCTCTCTCTCCTTTTCTACCTTTCCAAGCATGATCTCTTTCTCCGAGGACTAGCACCTCCTAACAGCATGCCCAAAGTATGTGAGACAGAACAAAAACTTCACTGTCCTTGCCTCTAAGAAGCACCGTGGTTGCATTTTTTCCCAGACAGATTTTGGGTTTGGTAATCCATGGGATATTCAATACTCTTCACCCACATCATTCACAAGTATCAAATCTTCAACCTTCCTTCCTCATTGTTCAACTTCACATGCACATGAAATAAAAAGTATACACTTTTAGAAGAGTTCCCTAGGATTACCTAATCCACTCAAGAACTTAGGCAGTTGTGGTAATGATCTTCAAATCTCGACCCTGAGTGCTGCTCTGAGGTAAGGCAGCTTATGTGACAGCAATCTATGTCCAGAGTTGATAAAGTTCTGTGGCAAAAGACATGAGGTTGCCACACTAATACTGACAGTCATCGTGGTTAAAATCCATGCTTCCATGAATATACTCATGCATTAACACCAGAAAAATGTTGTTTCATTTGCTCTAAAAATGTCCACCAAAAAGACTCGTACACAGAACTGTAAGTAACCATTAGGGGTTTTTTCTGCCTCCTTTTTTAATAAACTAGCTCAAATAAGCACTGTAATCTTAACGTGTGTGATAACTTGTATCACACTTCCGATTTTTATGAGTGCCACAGTCTATCACCAAGAGTCCTGAAAACATGTGAGACTGAAATAACTTAGTATTGCTTTTAAAAATTGGATCATGACTTAAAAGTTGCTCAATACTATCAGGTTTCCCCATAAGTTTGCCTGAAAGAAAAGAGAAAAGAAAAAAAAAAAAGACAACCACAAAGAGAAAACAGAAAATGCAGCATTATTTCTTTTTTCAAGATAGCAGTCTAATTGGTTCCATTGTATAAGGGACTACAATAGTCTGCAGTAAGAAAGCCAAAAGAAAAATAAACACAGTCATTTTGAAAATGGAATGTCTGCCTGCTTAATTACACTCATTATCAATGGTAATTGTACAGTTAAGGCCACCATTAG